TTCCCACACTCGGCAACATCTCTTTCCCTCTATTTTTGTATTTTCTCTCTCTATATCTATATACACAAGTTGGTAAGCCATTTTTGAGAGAGTTAGAGTGGGATTTTGGAGAAGGCCAAGAAGGGAATTTCATTTTACTTGACAAGAGCAATCTTTTGAGACCAGTATTGCTAGGGTTTGGTGAAGCTTTAATTTAGGGATTTATTAAGGCCTTGTTTGGCTAAGCACCTTGAGGTAGGGGTCTTCCTATTGTTCTATACTTTGCTTCTCATTGAGTATATTACTTGTTTCTGTAGAAAAATTGATGTTCCAGATGCTTGATTTGGATTTGTTGCAAGACAAATGGTAATTGTTTAATATTATGTTCTAAGCATGGTTACATGAGATAAGTGGGTGTTTTTCTACGCTATATGAAACTTGCTAGCATGATTTAAATGATGATAATTGTATGAAAAAACATGCTTGTTGTTGAGTGAAATAGAAATGTCATATTTAGAGCTTTTAAGTTGAGGATGCCATGCAAATTCTATCATTACCATATTAATTGATATTGAAGTTATGTTGGTTAGAAATGATGCATTTGCATTGCATGGTGGGAAAAGAAATGAAAAAGTGTTTGAAAAGGAAGATTTTACAAAATGAACTAGATTTTGCGTGTCTGGTAATAATTCGACCTAGAGGGAGCGCGATCTAGTATAGAACGTGAAAAAGTTGATACTTGGCCCCAAATGGTTGCCGAATTTGGAACCAAGGTTAGTTATCAATCTCGTCTCGGTAAAGTCGGTTAGCGTTTTTCGGCGTGAGTTTAGGGAGGTCGGGAGACATTGTGCATTCATTCCATTTCATACATATTTACGTTGAGTTATGAGACTAATGTTGATGGACTTGTTTTTATGTGGTAATTGTGCTAAGCAACCCTAATGTATGACCCCAGTTCTCCTTTGTCCCATTATGTGTTGTGTGGCTTAAGGGAGTCCAAAGTTAACACCTTAGGTGATTTCTACTGAACCTTCGTGCTCATCCCTTCCTTTAACATTTTTTGGGTCATGACGGGGATTTGGTGACGACAGACTTTCATAAGCGTAGTTGATATCATTATAATTATCTTTTATAAGCTTTTGTAACTGATGTTATATTTGTAAAGTTTAGGCATAAACACGTATATTTTTTTGTAATCCATTTTACGAGAATGTAAATTTATTATATTGGCAGTGTAATTTATTGACTTGTGATTATTATAAGCATGCATGATGAGGGTCTTCTTTAAAATATTTTTCAAGAAAGTTTACTTTTTGGTTGATAATGGAATTTTAATTAAAAAGGGCCATTTTCATCAAATGACCCATGTTTTCAAGTATGCAATGTTATCCCCACTTTTCACAAGTTTTGGAACCAGTTTAATATTATTTTCAATTGTTACAAGTGAGCCAAAAAGGAGGTTAAGTGTGAACAACACTAAAAATAACCAAACACAATCCAGGGCAAACCGGTCGACGCATGTGATTTCACGTTAACCTATTTCCATGAAACGGTCGACATGTAGTCATTTCACTTCGGCCGGTATCTCCATTTTTTGGGCAGTTGCCAAAGCACTGTGCATGACCCAAACCAGTCGACGTCTATAACCCAGACGTCGACCGATTTACATGAACTGGTCAACGTGTAGGCTATACATGTCGATCAAGTTTTGTAGCTCCCTTTCTTCCTTTTATTTTCTTGTGTTGTCCAATTTCGGCCTATGCGGTGGTGCCAATGTGCACTATAAAGACCAGTATGGTGTTTTATTCACAATCTAACCTTAGAAATGACCATGTTGCCCTTAGATGACCTCGGGTTCAGTTAAGGACCCGGATGATGATTTCGACCTCCGGGTTCCGGTTGTTACAAAAGTGAAAACTCTTCTCTGTTCTTATTCTCTGAAAACTGTTCTTGAAAACAATTTTGAAAGTTTCAAGCCAAGAAAGGCCTTAAGTATGTTTGTTTGCAGAGAATTCATTCCTCTCTTGTTGTCATATATAAGGGTTTCATAATCCAATAGTAAGGATAAATCTCATAATACGGTAATGCTCTTTAAGGATTTTCGGCAATTACTGAATTCCTCTCTTTAATTAATGCATTATTCTTGATTTTTGCAAATTAATTATTGATTTGAACTTAATAATTGGTATAAGAGCTATTGTTAGAGTTGGAGTTACTTCTTGTAGAAATCAAAATGAAAAATTAAACACACATGGGGTATATTTGGATTGCGCATAAGGTAACGACACTTAATTTCCTTTGTTTTGATTTGGCCATGGACATTCACTGGTTGATGTAATTTGGTTTAATGTTTGCATTTTTTTTTTTATGATTATTATACGGGTAACACGACACAATTATTACATGAGTAATATGACATGCATGTCTAACCTATTTAGTAAATGGGTTAACACTTGATAAGACATAAAATGACATGATAAGATATGTTTAAGCCATTCCTAATATGGACACGATACATTTATCAGACACATTTATTTAAACATATCATTTCTAATACGAATATGAGACGTTTAGATGACTAGATTAATTGAGTTATAAACGGGTTAACGGATCAAACATAAACAAGACACGTTTAATTATCTTATTAATTCGGATCGAAGGGATTACGAGACAAATAAAATTAAGCTAAACCCAATTTCATTTATCTAATGTCATGTTTGAGTTGTGTTAGGTGTCATATCAAGTATTCCCCCTAGGTAAAACCCTAATAGAATCTTTTTGGACTCCTTTCTTACTAGACAAGTTTTTTTCCTCTTTCCATACTAGAGCACTTCTTGTCCTACAAGGAGTTGCAATCTATTTAGGTCCAACAAGCTACTACAACCCATTTGTTTTGGGCTTGATTCGTGCTCTTTGGTCGATTGGCCCATTTCTATAGAACGGGCCAACCAAACCATTCCATCCTTGGCTTCCTCGTGGACTCGAATTTGGCTGTCATCAGTGCTTTACTTGCACAAGTGTCACTTTCAGATTAGTGGGGATTTTTCCCTACACAAACTTCAATTATAAATATCTTGTTTAGAATGAATAACAATTTTTTTCTTTTTTTTTTTTGTTTGAAAAGTATGAATAATGACTTTAATGCACAAAATTTAAATATTCTATAAAAAATGTCAATAAAATGCTATTTTTGTTTAAATATTATATCGAATTTGAAAGATATAAATGAAGGTTTGAGTCTAAATTTTATATCTAATTTAGTAACGTTACAAATGGAAGTTGGAGTGATTTAGAACTGAAGTGAAACTGAATTTTAAAAATAAGATTTATTGGTTCTAAAACAAATTTATAGGACTTATTTGTCTTTTGACAGACAAAGTAACACTTGGTAGTAATTTTCTTTAGAAAGATTGTAGATCAGATTTATCTGAAGGAGACAACTAGACAAGCAGGGCTACATGACCCTCCAAGAAAAAGGGTGTCCTAGGAAATAGAATAAAACCAGAAGTTCACGTGAAGGAGTCTCTGTCATTTTCTATTCAGATTGAGAAAGCTTGAATCTTGTATTCATGTAGGCCAAAAACATATCATTTCAAAAATAATTTTCCTGATCCTAATTCGATATGGTGATATGTAATTATCACCAAAAAAAAAAAAAAAATTGTAAGCCTATGTAATACTACGTCACAAGAATTTTTCTTGATAATTAGATAGCATGCAGATTATAATTTTTTCTAATTTCATATGATTTTTTAGAGTGGGGTTACTATAAATAGTGATTAAACCTTTCAAACCACCAAGGACTGTGGCAGTGTTACTTTTTCATCATTCAAAGTAATTTTTGAGAGTTCAATTCTCGTATGGATATGGATATGTGGGAGTGTAGGCGATTTCTTGCCCTCCCCCCACCCCCCCCCCCCCCAAAAAAAAAAAAAAAAAAAAAAAAGCTTTGAAATTCTAATGAATGAATTGATAAAATGATTAAACACTTGCAAAAGCTTAACATTTTTAGGACTCCAATATGAAAGACCATCAGTTCATGTGTTTATGTAATGAGTCTAGATGGCCTTGCCAAAAAAAAAAAAAATCTTAACTTTTAACACAAGGAATTGACAATTTTAAAAAGAGTATTTTACAAGAGGGTTGGTGCAGCGCCATCATAGGAGTGTGCATGTCTGGATTGGGGACCTATTCAAAGTTGACACAATAATGGTTGAATATGAGCATGTTAACACATGTTTTATGTTGGTTGGTGTAGCTTGTAATGCCACTCCTTGCACACGTGGGCTTGGGATTGAATACCGTAAAAGGCGTGTCCTATCTTTATGGGACATTAATTGATTTTCAAATAAGATGACACGATCCAATCTAACATCTAATGAGAGATAGCACAGGCGTGTCCTATCTTCATGGGACATTAATTGATTTTCAAATAAGATAACACGATCCAATCTAACGAGAGATAGCACGGTCTGATCCAACTAGTATAGGGTTATGGGTTCAAATCCCAGAAATATCGCCAAGTTTTTGGAGGAAGAATTGTATTAATTAAGTTCTTACAACCAATAAAAGTAAGTTTATTTTAATGAGGGCAAGACAATAAGTAATAAAATGTAATAAAAGTCAAGCACAAGGCGTGATACATTCTTTGAGGATTCCCAATATATAAGGTAATTAAGGTTGGCCAGAGATATAGAAGGTAAGGATATTGATTGGTGCTATTAAAGGTAAATTAAATATATATTTTTTCAGCAAATAAGGAAAATAGAGTATTACATAAAAATTACAAAATTAAAGTTTTCAACGTACACAATATTTTAACGAATAGATGCATAGATGGTTCTTAAATACCATTGTCCCAATTCAAAGGCCTAAACTTAATTTGGAAAAAGACATTAAAGGTCTGGTCTGACACAAAACATTCGAGAGAGAGTAGCTGTCCCTCCTCGTATATGACTTCATTGCTATATAAACCCACTGCCAAATATCTCCAAAGTGTGAGCTCGGCCTTCCTCTCTCTTTCTCTCTCTCTCTCGTGTCTATTTCTATTGTCTCAATGGACTCGAGTACCTCCATGCTTGTGAGCTCAGCATTGGAGCGCAATGATCATAATGCTTCTATTTCCGACCTACATTTGCTAAAACATACTAGCGTACCAAAAGAATTTTTGTGGCCCAAAGGGGACTTAGTTCATGCTCATGAAGAACTCAATGAGCCAGTGGTGGATCTCGAGGGATTCTTTAGTGGCGACGAGCTTGCAATGCAGCGTGCTGCCAAGCTGATAAGCGCAGCATGCTTGAGCCATGGTTTCTTCCAAGTTATCAACCATGGTGTTGAAGCGCAACTACTTAACCAAGCGCATGAACATGTGAATGCTTTCTTCAAGCTACCCATTGGCAAGAAACTAATGGCTCTAAAGAAACCTGGTAGGCCATGGGGCTATTCCGGTGCTCATGCCGATCGGTTTTCATCCAAGTTACCTTGGAAGGAATGTTTATCTTTTGGCTTCCATGAGAATGGCTCGGATTCTGTTGTCACAGATTTCTTCGAATCGGCCTTTGGCAAAGAATTGGAGCACACCGGGTATGCTCTCTTAATTTGTAGATACAATTAAGCACTAGCTACCAATGGTTTTATTGGTAATGGTTTACCAATAAAACCTTTAGTTGAGAGAGGAAGGTGATGGTGAAGAGTTCGCTGTCTGGCTTTATTTTATATCTTCCTACTCTTACATATATTAATTTGTTTTGATCGGTCATCTTTACCAAATACAAGTTAGTGAAGAATTTAACTATCTTTTATTTTGCATAGATGAAACAAATCACTTGATTACAGTCAAAATGGCCAGCGAAATGATGATCCGAGCCAATAGTGTTGTGACTCGCACATTTTCACCCTAAATTATTTTTCGACCTAATATTTATGATGAAGAGTTCGAATTTGGACTCTTCGGACATATAAAAGCCCTTGTCCCCCCATCAGTTGACCTATATATTAATTGTTACAAGCACTCATATAATACACACACACACACATATATATAATTTACTTATGTTTCGAAAGCATTTATTATACTTTTTGATGGTGGATTCATCAGGTTTTCGTTTCCTTTTGGGTTGAGAGAGGATGGTGATATTTAAGAAAGCACTTTCCAACCGTTATTTTTTATCTTTGTCAATAGATGCATTTCACTAATACTTGGATTCTCTTATGTATGAAGTAATGAACTGTAATATCATTTCCTTTTTAAATGTGAAGTACATGTATCTGATCAAAAGCACTGTGCGAATATCATCTCTATATTTATTGCTAATTAATTTGTTATAATTACCCTAAGTTTTATTCAGAAGCACTAATTAACTTCATACATGGTTCGAAATTTGCCACTTTCTGTAGAATGCTTTTTCAGAAATATTGTGAATCGATGAAAAAGCTCTCTCTCTCAATCATGGAGATATTGGGGATTAGCTTGGGAGTCGATCGTTTGTTCTACAAAGATTTCTTCCAAGATTGTAGCTCTATAATGAGATTGAATTACTATCCATCTTGCCAAGAGCCAGGCCTTGTCCTTGGCACCGGACCTCATTGCGATCCAACCTCCTTGACCATACTTCATCAAGATCAGGTTGGAGGATTAGAAGTGTTTGTGAACAACAAATGGCTGTCTGTTCGCCCTAGACATGATGCACTGGTTATCAACATTGGTGATACCTTCACAGTATGTTTCCAAGAAATTCAAATTATATACTTGTTCCCTTTGTTGGGGTTGCTGTCCAAGAAATTCAAATTATAAATTATTTTTTATTTTATATTACCACTATTTTCTCCCAAAACTATGATTTTATACTTCCACAACCGCGTACTTTTGCTCATGTGAGGACCGGAACCTTCAACTTGAAAGCTGATGAAGCATTACTATGTTACAGCCCTTGGTGGTGATACGCTAGCTGATTTATTGATCACCCCACCAGGGATAGACCTCTAATTAGATACGGACCCATGGTATGCCCGGGGGCAATTGCCCCTGATTCTTTTTTCTCACTATTTTATCCTACTAATTTTGTCATTTTGATATATATACATATAAAATATTACCCTGAAATTATTTAAAAAAATCAATATTGTCCCTCCTCACTTGAGTTTCTGATTCGTCCCTGTCAGTGATTGCCACCACTGAAATTTTGTTTTTGCAATTTTACTCACTAATTTTGCTTTTCAAAATTCTATATTTAAAAAATTTTGAGTTTGCGAAATTAGAGAAAATTTTCAATATTGTCTCCCATAACATTCTTTTGTTAAAGGTTGCCTTCTCTCACATACTTCTCTGGTCCGTCCCTGCACCCCACCATTGTCAAAATCATGCATTCATGTATAAATCATTGCCCACATATATATTTCTTTTGTAGCTTTTGCTTGAATGAGGAACACTTGAAAGGCGATGAAGTATACATGTGTGTGTATTATACATAGACATCTGCTTGTATGTTTGTATATATGTATGATGATATATTGACTTGATCCATTTTCTTGGATGTGTAGGCATTATCAAATGGAAGATATAAGAGTTGTGTGCACAGAGCAGTGGTGAACAGTAACAAGGACAGGGTATCGTTGGCGTTTTTCATGTGCCCTAGCGAAGACAAGGTGGTAAAACCTCCGGAGGATCTTGTGTGCAGAGAAGGGCCAAGAAAGTACCCAGACTTCACGTGGTCAGATTTGCTCGGATATACACAAAAGCACTACAGAGCCGATAATGCTACCCTCCAAAACTTCACTGCATGGCTCCTATCTTCAAAAAGCACCTAAATACTAGCTTCTCACTCTCTCTCTCTCTCCCTATATATATATATATATATATATTCATAGTAAATTAATATTTTTGTTGCTTGTTTTATTGGCTCTTCTTGGCAGCTCCATAGTTCACTTGTCAGGTCATGTGGCAGTTGGATTGTTCTCTGCTGTTGGTTTCTGTTTGCTGAGCAGTTCCTGCTGGTTTGGCTCTCTTGTTGTTGGTTGTACTCGTTCCGTTTGTTCTCTTGTGAACTCTTATCTTTCCCTAGCTTCAGCTGGTTTTCTGGGGGATGCCCCTGTGCTTTGTTTAATTTCTTTTCCTATGTAATATATATTTACCCTTTACCCAGAAAAGGAAAAATCTGTTGCAGTGTCAAATGAAGTTATATTGTGTTTTTTAATGCATGCTTATGAATCCATATTTATGGAATGCATCCTTGATGAATTATATCTAGAGTAATGCTACCGAAAAAACAGTAAAGCCTCGGGACTACCCATAACATGGTACCACCCACCAACTAAAAATGCAGCAATAGAATCTAAATCTTTATTTATGTGACAAGATATATATAAATGATTTATAATTAGGATATGGTACTCCTGGTTTTGGGAGGATTTTTTTCGTAATGCGTTCGGGACAAAGTAGGTCAAACTAAGTAATGTTAAAAATGTTACAAGAAAACATATTACGTGAGCCCCACATGATTTAATTAATGTAATCTATTTATTATTGACCACTTTGCTTTGCAATTTGTAAGTCCATCTATTAAATAATGTTTTTCACTTTGAAAATAATTTTGCATTTCTAGTTTGGGCGCCTGCTTTCCTCGAAAACTTCAACTTGATATGTCAGTTACACTTCAAACAATCACTCCTTCGGTGGCTGAAAAATCGAAATGAAATTCAACAAGATGCTGCTGAGTACAGAGACCTGAAAAATTGATGATCTCAAATTCAGAGGTATTATGTTCACATGGAACAATAAAAGTCATGGGACTGCAAACATTGCAAAGAAGTTTAATAAAGCTCTTATAAATGATAAATGGAATCTCTTTTTCCCCAGTTCAGAATGCCATTTCCTCTCTGACCACAGTCCTATTTTGGTTAGGCTTGGGGATCCTCTTCAAAGGAAACATGAAGCCTTCAAAATTTTCAATTCATGGGCATCAAATGATTAGTTTATGTCAACTGTTTCTCTCACTTGGAACTCTTACATCAGAGGCACAAAAATGTTCCAGGTGGTTCAGAAATTAAAAGCCCTCAAGCCATCTCTGAAGCCTCACATAAAATCTCTGACACCAAGCAACAGCTAAACCATTGCCAAGAAGCCCTTGATATCAATCCAATGGGCTCCACTCTGAGAAAGCTCGAGGCATCATTATTACACAATTATGCTTGCTTATTAAATGTGGAGGAGCAAAATCCAAGGCAGAAATCAAGAGTTATATGGCTGCAATTAAGGGATAGGAATTTAACCAAAAAAAAAAAATTAAGGGATAGGAACTTCTCTCTTCAAGTTAATTGGAGGAGTAATTAATACAAAGAAGACCATCACTCACTGATTCAAATGATGCACATATTAAAGGTGAATCTCAGATCAAAGAAGCCATTGTCAACCATTTCCATGATCTACGCTGGTTCACATCTCTTTCAACACCACGTGTCCAGGTCAGTTCCTCCCCACTCTTTTGATGACCTTATTGCAATTCCTAGTGATTTTAATATTCAATCATGCTTCTTCTCACTGTTTTAATGTATTTGTCTTCCAAAAATCATGGCCTATCATTGGATGTGACATCATCAAAGCCATTAGAGAATTTTTTTGTTTTTGTAAATAGATGTGAGCCGACGCAGCGGAATATCTAGAAAGTTTTGATAATTTTAAAAATTGATCTTGTATTTTTCTATCTTACTTTATTTTAATAATTAATAAATTAATATCATGCAATATAAAATAAAGCAAAATAAAATTAGAAATGACACCAAGATTTTAGCAAGGAAATCTCAGTTGATAAAATACGTCAACTGTTTACATGGGAAAAACCTTATGGACTGTGCAGTCCAAAGTAAACCGATCCACTATACTTGAAGCAAAGTACATTCAACTTTGAATCTGGCTCACACCCTATCGTTCTACCAAACACTAATTGCTGACAATCCTCTACCTTTGCGATGCCCCGTCGAACAGTAATTTGACCTCAGGCTTATGCTTAATCTTTGTAGAAGAGTAGCAGGTAGATCAGACAACACTCCTTGAATGCTCCAACCCTTTTAAAGTGTGATCGTTTTTACTGTAATGTTTCCATTTTTTTTTTCATTTTCCAATTTTTTGGAATTTTCTATTTTGTGAGGGTATTTTCGTCTTTTCTCGTTTTGCGTACTAAACACCATGGGGTGTGTCGAGTGTGTCCGAGAACTGGTTGAGGTATTTTATTGAGTTCAGGACTCTTTGAAATGTAGGGGTTGTCATTTCGGCATTTTTTTTTCGTTTTCAGACCGGACAGTCCTAGGTGGGACCCACTACCGAAATTGTTGCGTACGGGGATTTTATTTTGGGTCAATTACGTACCATGCATAAATATTTTGTTCATAAATTACTATATTTAAATGTTAAATTTGTAGCTATGATATAATTAGAGCATATATATATGGTTTTGCGGTGGAAAAATTAAAAGAAAAAGATATTTTTTTAAAAATGGGACTCACCATTTTTGTTTAGTGGCCAAGAGGCCACCATTTTGGCCTCACATCTCTCTCTCTCTCTCCCCGGCACTCTCTTCCTCTCACACTTTCTTTTCTTTTTTTTTCTTTTCTTTTTGTTTCAAAACTTCAATCTTTAATTCCTTCTTCAATTGTTGGAATTTTTGGATGTCGTTTGTGGCAAAACAGAGGGCATGGCGAGATCTATGCATTAATGTAAACAATTCCTCATTTGGCCTTGTAACGACCCTGAATTTTTTAACTCAGTATGTACTGTGATAAACTGAAAGTTGACCTGATAACGGATCCGAAATGAGGAAGCAAAAGGTAAATCCAAAGTCTATAGAGATGCAAACCATCCCCAAGACACCAATATGACCTTCCATGAAGTCACGGAGCTCAAAGAAATAACCGGAAGCAAAAACTAACATGAAAAGGGTCAAATGGTACCCTATGGCACCAATAACAACCAAAGTGACAAAATGTAGTTCAAACTAAACTAAGAACACCACTAAATGGCTTACACAAGATTAATAAAATCTAGTAGGAAGGAACGAAGCGATAAAGGCCTGAAGAGACAATCAACCAAACAAAACCTACAAGGCAGCTCCATTTCGGTCGACCGAAATGGACCTTCGATCTGCCGAAATGAGCCAGGAAAAAGAAGGAAAAAAGCCTTCATTTTGGTCTACCGAAATGATAAACCGGTCGACCGGTTTGTGGCTCGAAACTGAAAAAGGCTACTGGAATTGGACTTTTACTGTTCAATTGAAATTCAAAGGCCATCGGTCAACCGAAACAAGCTACCGGTCGACCGAAACAAGTTAAAAATGCAAAAATGAACCTGTTATGCACCAAAAAGTGAAAACTGCACTAATGCCCAGAATGAAAATGTCGTCCAAAAATATTTCCTTAAAAACCCCTAAAATAAAATATCTTCAAAAGATATTTACGAACAATACCCCAAGAAAAGAAAAGATTCTGAAAAACTATGCATCCATGCCCCTATGGACACCGGGAGCAACCGGGGTGCTTTCTTACAAAAGTAAAGACACGTATTTCATGGAAACCAATTAGACTGAAGATATGTGAAGTCAAAAACCAACTCTAAACACAAGAAATGAGGTTATACCAACAAAGTGACAACGGGAAAAAGACAAAATAGAAAAAATGACGAAATAGGGAAAAAGACGAAAAGTGAATAGTGTTAAAAAACGAAAAAATGTGGAATTGACTTAGTCCTTAAAGGAAGTTGTCAATCCAAAGAAAAGAGTCTCAGAACTCACTCCAGAGCACTTGAGATGACACTAAGCGACGAGGAACTAAACCCAGGAAGGAAAAAGATCAACGGAAAAAAAATATCCGTGAAAATCTGAGAAAAAGAAAGGAAGAAAAAAGACCGGGTCATTACAACCTTCCCACCTTAAAGGGATTTCGTTCCTGAAATCCTGCCCCAACAAAACAAAAGGTGAAACTAGGATAACTACGAAGTACATCTCCGAGTATCCCACACAACACGCTACACCAGCGACCTCAAAACTGAAAGACAATCCACAAACCAGTGTCATTTGCACCCATGTGCTCATGACAAGACAACCTTTCAGAGGAAAAGTGACCACATGGTCACACGACAAGTCAGAACTCACATACAGAACCCAAGGTCAGACAAAAGAATGGAAAACAATAACCGTAAGCATCCCTCCAGATGAACCATCGTACCGATCCAAAAACAAACACCAAAAGAACTCCAAGATAACCACGTATCAAATCAAGGTACTGAACAAAGATGATATGGCAGTACGAATAGCGACTAGGACCCGCCCACGACGTACTTAAATGTGTGGTAGCAATGACAGTACCTAGTGCCCGCCCACACTTACTCATCAGTAAGGTAGCATCGACGGCAACTAGCAATCGCCCGCAACACACAACTTTATACAGTAGCATGACAATATAAGGCACTAATTCATAACCTGCCCCCCACCAAGTCTACCCATGAAATTCTTGATGCAAATGACATCGATGTCACAAACGATCATAGCCAAAAGCAATGTGGAAACCTGACATCTGTGAAAGTTGGAATATGGTACAAAGACGTTCTAGACCATCTTAGCCAATCCTAAACTCTGACAACAATGTTATAGGCATCATTATGCTTAAGGCCTCAAATCCTCAATACAACAAAACCAACAACTCCAATGTCTCAAAATACTCGTATTAACAACATCAATAAAGAATCCAAAGGTCGATAAGCAAATCAATGCCTACAAAAATCAAATGAACCTCACAACAAGACATTTCATCGAAAGTCCTTCATTTCTCCCTGAAACAGATCAACTACAAGACTACATTGTAATCAGACATCGGATCCACATCCTATCATGGATAACTAAATCCTCGAAATACAAGTCCACCAAGTGGCACACATCATAATCTCGATGAACGAGGTTACAAAATAAGTCTCTTAGAATCGTGCTTGGCAATACCAAGCTAAATCAAAATTCCTTAATTTTGATCCACAACCAATCATCAGAACTACGATTCCTCAAAACTACGCCTAGCCATAGCTAGGACGAGAAAACTCCACAAACAAGCCATATCCAATAGGGATCCTCCAAAACTTTTCCTAAGAGTCAGCCACATCTAGATCTCCAAAACTAAAACAAGTCTCCAAAAGCTATCCTCAAAATAGCATCGAGCT